TGTCTGTTGGCTGTATGCATGTCTTCTTTTGAGAAATGTCTGTTCATATCCTTTGCCCACTTTTTGATGGGGTTGTTTGTTTTTTTCTTGTAAATTTGTTTGAGTTAAAAGTAACAATTATTAATAGAGGTACACATATAATACTGAACAAAGATGCAAAGTGATATTGACTATATATTCTATTTATATAAAGTTCAAAAATAGGCCAAAATAATTTATGATGTTAGACGTTTAGACAATATTTAGGGCTGGCAAGAGGAGGAAAGCAGGAAAGCATGAATGAACGGTGCAAAGGAGAACATCAGGGATGTACTGAGAATGTTTTCTTTCTTGATCTGAGTTGTGATTACATAGGTGGCATCCCTTTGTGATAATTAACCAAGGTGTATGCTTGTGGCTTTTGTGCTTTTCTACTTGTATGTTACACTTTGATAAAGTTTATTAAAAGTGAAAAGAAATTCCATTAGGTGTCCTTGGCTCCACCCAGATGTTTATCTCAGCTTCTATCTCCTCAGCTCTGCTAGGTACTTGCAATATACGAGATGCAGAGGACAAGAGAAAGCACGAAACAGGAGTCTGACCTCTAGAATTTTGTGTTTTACAGTGAGGCAAGCCATCAGTTGAAGTTTATAAATCTTGTTATAGCCAAATAGTCAGGGTGGTTGACAATTAAGGCTGAGTAAATGTGAGCATGTCATATGCCAACTCTGCACCATCTTAGATAGTTATGTGTTGCACTGAGATGGGAATGGTTAGTGATTTCTGCTACTCAGAGCATGTGTTGGTTCATTTTCATGCTGCTGATAAAGACATACCTGAGACTGGGAGGAAAAGGGGTTTAATTGGACTTACAGTTCTACATGACTGGGGAGGCCTCAGAATCATGGCGGGAGGCAAAAGGCACTTCTTACATGGCGGTGGCAAGAGAAAATGAGAAAGATGCAAAAGTGGAAACCCTTGATAAAACCATCAGATCTTGTGAGACTTATTCACTACCACAAGAACGGTATGGGAAAAACTGCCCCCATGATTCCAATTATCTCCCACCAGCCCCTCCTGCAACATGTGGGAATTATGGGAGTACAATTCAAGATGAGATCTGGGTGGGGACACAGAGTCAAACCATATGAGAACACTATCAAATTCTGTTCTGATCTGAACAGAACAAGGGGAGTACAGAGAAGGTCTGAATTACTGAGGCTGGGATCACGTCGGATAAAGGAAAACACCACCATACTCTGGGCAGTGCCTGTCTCCTAGCAGACATTAAACCATCCTCTATACTCTTCCATCAGGCCTTTGGTCAGACTCAGGGAGGAAGGGAGTGTTAAATCAAGTTTAGCTTAAAGCTGCCTCCTGATGTATTTTAAGTTTGGCCTAAAAGTTGCTCTGTATATCGTGACCTGTAATCGAAATGGAGATGTAAATTGACTGTAACCTACCCTTGTGCCGATCACCAAGTTTCGCCCAATCCCAGGTGGCCAGCTGTTAAAACTGGTGTTCAAATAAGGCAAACACCAAGCTGTAGACATTAAACCACCCCATCTCAGTGCAACACATAACTATCTAAGATGTTGCAGAGTTGGTGTGTGATGTGCTCAATCAGGCCTTTGGTTAGACACTCAGGGAGGAAGGGAGTGTTAAATCAAGTTTAGCCAAAAGCTGCCTCCTGATGTACTTTAAGTTTGGCCTAAAAGTTGTGAACTATAAATTAAAAGGAGGTGTAAATTGACTGTAACCTACTCTTGTGCCAATCACTGAGTTTCGCCCAGTTGCAGGTGGCCAGCTGTTAAAACTCTGTTTAAATAAGGCAAACACCAAGCTGTAACCAATCCAGCCATTTCTGTGCCTCACTTCAGTTTTCTTTACATCACTTTTGCTTTTCTGTCCAGAAATCTTCTTCCACTATGTGGCTATGCTGGAGTCTCTCTGAGCCTACTCTGGCCCGGTAGGTTGCCTGATTCGGATTTGTGAATTGTTCTTTGATCAGTTAGACTCTGCCAAATCTAATTTGGCTAAGGCTTTTCTTTTCACAGCCGATAGGAGGAGACTGTGGTCAAGCTATGAGCCTGAAACTCTCATTAGAGTAGGAGAGTGAGGGGACCATGTAGCCGAAGGGAGGCAGCACTTCAGGGGTATCGCATTCTCCATACTTGGAGCAGCTGACAGCTGGCAGGCTGCAAAGAGGCCTGGCTGGGATGCAGACCTCAGGGGGTTTCCACTCAGGCTAACTGAATCAGGCAGAGAAACAGGCCAGGGGAACAATCTTCACTCCCATCTCTCTGCTCTCTGGTTCCTCCTTTTTTTTTTTTTTTGAGTCTCGCTCTGTCGCCCAGGCTGGAGTGCAGTGGCCGGATCTCAGCTCACTGCAAGCTCCGCCTCCCGGGTTCACGCCATTCTCCTGCCTCAGCCTCTGGAGTAGCTGGGACTACAGGCGCCCGCCACCTCGCTCGGCTAGTTTTTTTTTGTATTTTTTAGTAGAGACGGGGTTTCACCGTGTTAGCCAGGATGGTCTCGATCTCCTGACCTCGTGATCCGCCCGTCTCGGCCTCCCAAAGTGCTGGGATTACAGGCTTGAGCCACCGCGCCCGGCCGGTTCCTCCTTGATATTGCATCAGTGACCACTACCACAAGGTGCACTCTTTCCTCCGGAAGCCTTTTGTCACCCTGAATTACCTCCACAGCAGGGCTGAACATTCTAGCTGTTCTATCAATGCTGCTGCTTACCATTATGCAATCATGCAGTCACGCTCAAGAGACTGATTTGTCTGTGGCTCGGTTTTGTCATCTCTGAATTGAAAATAATCAGTATTTTATCTTCTAGGGTTGTTGTGAGGATTAAGTGCATTCATAGATGTAAAAGGCTTAGCACTGCTCAGTAAATGTTAGCTATTATTACAGACTAAAGTCTAACTCTTAAGTCTTAAGTAGGGCCCACTCTAGTCTCAAGTCACCTTTCCAACCTCATCTCTCCTTTCCATAAAACTCAACGTTCCCACTGGGCTAGACTCTACGATATTCCACGAGACCTTTTTTTTTTTTTTTTTTTTTTTTAAGCTCCCTGACCATTCGTGCTATCATTGACTAGCCAGTAACTTCTCTGAGCCTCTGTTAAATTGGGATAACAATCTCTGTCCCAAAGGGTTGTGGTGAGTATTAAATTTCAGGTGGTACAGGTGATAAGACCGCTGTTCCAGGCAGAAGCTAAGGTTCTGGGTTGCTTCTGGTAAATGGAGCATAATGGATGCTTTCCCCTTCAGTTCTGTCACTTATGAGCAGTGTAGATTTGATCAAACGACGTTAACTTCTTTTTTTTTTTTTTTTGAAAAATCCACCTAGTAACACCCCCACTTCATAGAGCTGCAGTAATATTTGAGAGAGAGATTGTGTGGTGAGAAAGTCTTTCTCAATGAATGCTCAACAAATGGGAGCCAGCTGTGGGTAAGCACAAACTTTGCTGCTATCCAGTCCTGAGGGCTGCAGAGATGCAGGCTTTATAGGCTCAGAGCTGAGTCTCTCTTGCTGCCTTAACCATCACATGCTTATTTTCCTCATCGGAAATTCAGATGAGGACAGAAAGGTGTGGTGGAAAGCCGTCCAGGCCAGGAACCTAAAGGCCTAGATTCCAGTTCCTTTACTGGCTTCCTTGTGCTCCTGGGCAAATATATATGATCTATGTGGGTCTCTGTTTGTTTTTAATTTTTAAAATGAGTTAATGTTTGGGAGCTACATCTGATTCAGGAGTGGTATCCTGAACTAGCCTAGATGTGTTCTCAGAGACTTATTCTGAGGGGCTCATTGATTCCACCTTCAGGTGAAGCCTTCCTGGTCCATAGCTCTTGAGTCTCTGAACCGGGGTTTAGTAGGTTTCCGCTCCTTACATTCAGGAGTTCTGGCTGGAACAACCTGGCCCTATATCGTCAGGGTCCGGAGTTTTGCTGGTTTGGCTCAAAGTCCTACCTGCACAATTGCTCTGGGAAATTAATTCCAATTACATGTGCTTTCATTGGAAGGTGGTGTCACTCCCTGATTAATTCACTTTGACACTCCTTTATGGGTGTGGCCTCTGCTTGGTGTAAAAGGCATCCTTCCCTCAATAATAACCCAGTGTTATCTTGGGGGAAGGTCTCTCTGTAAATGAGTTTCTGCAGATTCTTATCCAGAATGGGAGAGTTGTGGACTTGGCTACGAGGATGCTATATCTGACCAGACGGAAGAAAGGGTCTGAGTTTGCTAGATGGCACTCTGGAGACTTGGACGGTGATGAGTTAAGCAATTGGAAGCAATGGGCAGAGATATGCCATCACTATTCAGATAAGCAGCTGGAAAGATCTGAAACAGCTTTGGCCTAGAAATGAACCTGGGAATTTTAGGACTGAGGCCCTCGCAGGGGCTGGCAGATGGCATCTTAGGAGTATGACAATGTGGCTTTCTGAGGAAGCAGAGCTATCTTGCACGGTTTGGGGAACATTCTTTTTCATCCCGAGATCAATAGATGTACCAATGGGAGATCCAAAATAGTTCTCTTTCTTTCAGGCCATTTTTCTTCCCAGGCATACTGGACTCATTATATAACACTATCTCCAAGATGTTGAGCCTTCTGCAGCCCCCAAGGAACCAACTCAGAGATGCATGCTGCTTACTGAGAAATAATGTGATTGGCAAAGGAAACTCTCTTTTATTGAGGGCCTTCCTTGTGGAGCCCATGGCACTGTGTGTGTCTCCTTATGTTCATGATTACATATGAACAGTGGCTTTGCCTGTGCCTAAGAGCTGGGCATTAGCTACTTATTATTATTAAGAATAGGAGCATCTAAGCCCCTAGGGTGTCTCAGAGTCGATGAACTCACCTGGAAAATGTTGGCAAAATCTCTGAGGTTGAAGATGTAGTGGAATTTGACTGCTGTGGGTAAGAATGTGGTAGCAACTTTCTGGTGGAAGGTGAGGGCCAGATTGATCAGTGGGGGGATGGATTTCTGCAGGGACGCCGGGAAGTTTCCAAGCTTCAGATGTTGAGTAAGGATGATGCTGTAGATGGAGGACAGGGCATCTGCCCCCGGGAAGGAGAGGACAAACAGGCTGAAGTGACGCTGCACAGAAAACAAAGGCATGAGCTCAACATCCTTTACCACAGAGTAGAAATCACCTCTTCTGAATTTGGAGATAATAACGGAACATTCTTCTATAGCCTTTAAATCTGTATTTTGGTCCCATCGCTTACACGATGCCCACATTTAGGTTGAACTTAAAATGACTAGGGGAATAACAGGCAAAGCACCTTCAGTCAAAGATGGCAGCCTGGGACAGTAGGAAGAGAACTAAACGTGGACTCAGAGAAGCTGAGTCCAAATCTGAATTTGATACTGAGAATCCATATGACCCTGGGAAAGTCATTCGTCTCTGTGAAGTTCCCTCATCTGAAGAAAGAGGGATCAAATCAGATGAAATCTGTGATCCCTTCCAATCTTGAGACTCTAAGTCTAGGAGTTTCTCTTTTCCCCTAGAGATGAAATTTGGCATTCTATCTGATTTACCGTTCGGAGAGGCTGCGTGGGGAAAAAAGTCAATTATTACTTATAATCAAGGGGCATCTGCTCTAGTAAGGTATGATTAGAACCCGGGTCCCGTGGCTCCTCCTGTACCTGAAGCCGGGGGTTGATGGTGAAGCTGCCTGCCGTGGGGTTCATACAGGAAACATACTGTACATTTGTGATCTCCTTTAGGGACAGCTTGCTCCGATCATACCTGGAACAGTCAGAAGCGCTAGGTAAAAGGTGTCTGAGGACTGAGGCAGGTGAGTGCTTTGTCAAGGTGAGGTAGGATGTGCCCTACTGTTCATGTGCTTGGGTGATAAAAAAGTCTAGATCCACTGGCAGGGATTGAGAAGAGATACGAGCCTAGGACAGATTCCCAAGGGACCTCAGTATCTAAAGAAATAGCATAGAAAGATGAGCCCACAGGATGGACAAAAAGGTAGGAGAAAAATCAGGGGGTATATGCCATACCAAAAGGCAAAGGAAGCCAGTATTCCCAAAAGAAGAGAGTGGTCAACCACATCAAGGGCTGCAGAGAGAACAAGAAAGGTAGTGACTCCAGCAGGGGTGTCTAAGGGAGAGAATCCTCCATGGGTTCTTAGTTTCTGTTTCTGGTTGAGCCAGTAATGCCCCTTCCTCATCCCTCTTTTCCACTTATCACTAGAGACAGAAACTAAAAACTATGGCTTCAGGCTGCTGAAAGCCAAAAACAAAACCAAACAGAACAACAACAATGACAAAATAAGGTGGCTGGACAAGCTTGCAAAGGATTTCTTGGATTTTATAATAATGATGCAGATAGTAGGTTAGCAAGAACAGTGGAGGGAACAGAAATCAAACAACAGTAGATTGAGGAGTGAGTGGGAGATAAGGGAGTGGGGACAGAACAGTAATTAGAAAGTGATTTTTTAACTCAGTTGAAGAAATGTATGCAAGTTTGTTTGTTTATTTATTTATTTATTTGAGACAGAGTCTCACTCTGTTGCCCAGGCTAGAGTGCAATGGCATGATCTCGGCTCACTGCAACCTCTGTCTCCAGGTTCAAGCGATTCTCCTGCCTCGGCCTCAGAAGTAGCTGGGATTACAGGTATGTGTCACCACACCTGGATAATTTTTATATTTTTAGTAGAGATGGGGTTTTACCATGTTGACCGGGCTGATCTCGGACTCCTGGGCTCAAGTGATCCACCCACCTTGGCCTCCCAAAGTGGTGGGATTACAGGCATAAGCCACCGCACCCAGCCCATTTATGCAAGTTTAAACGATGTGAAGCAGCTAATGAGGAGATGGGGACCGACTGATGAAGTGAGCACTTCAGGAGTGGGAGACAGTAGAATGAAGAGGCTGGTGGATGGTTCGGCCTTAGGTAAGATGTAACAGGAGGGTGGAGGAGGGATGCATGGGGACACGGGTGAGTTGTATGGATGTGGAAGCAAGAAATGGAGGTGGCATCTGTGTTCTCTGAAAAGGCAAGGCCATCAGCGGAGGGTGGTGGGAAGATCAAAGACAGGGAAGATGGAATGAAATAGACATTTCTGAGAGTAGACATACTAAAACCATATGGTAGAATTTCCAGGAAGCTTCTACTTTCCATTTAAGGTTTGTGACCATGAATCTAAAGTAAAACTAGTTAGCTTGACTCTCAATTATTGCCCATGAAATTAAGCTGCTCAAATGTCAGTGTGGAGATTGTGAACGGTTGCATATGTCAGGCATCCAGTAAAGATTTTGGGAAGGAAGGGAAGGCAACTCAAGTTGCCGTCTTAACTACCATTCTTCTCTCTGAATTCTCTCTTCTCACTCTTTCTCAGCAGTAGATTCAGTGTGTGGTAGAAAGGTGAGTCAAAGTTGTCTCAAATCAGTGACTTTTTTTTTCTTTTTCTAGTAAGTTCAGACCTTTTGCCATTAAAAATTATGCTGTTGCAAGAGATACTATCCAGGCCTCTGAGCTGCTCTGAAGGCACTGAGGCTGGAAGGTCTGCAGACACCGTACAGGGTACCGGGTGTTAGGTGTTGTGTTTCGTTTGTTTGTTTGTTTGTTTGTGAGATGGAGTCTTGCACTGTCACCCAGGCTAGAGTGCAGTGGTCCAAACTTGGCTCATTGCAACCTCTGCCTCCCGGGTTCACGCCATTTTTCTGCCTCAGCCTCCCAAGTAGCTGGGACTACAGGTGCGCACCAACATGCCTGGCTAATTTTTGTATTTTTTTTTAGTAGAGATGGGGTTTCACCATATAGGCCAAGCTGGTCTCGAACTCCTGACCTTGTGATCCACCTGTCTCGGCCTCCCAAAGTGATGGGATTATAGGCATGAGTCATTGTGCCCAGCCTTTTTTTTTTTTTTTCTCGAGACAGAGTCTCGCTTTGTCACCCAGGCTGGAGTGCAGTGGCATGATCTTGGCTCACTGCAACCTCTGCCTCCCAGGTTCATTCAAGTCTCCTGCCTCAGCCTCCTGAGTAACTGGAACCACAGGCGCCCGCCACCATGCCCCACTAATTTTTGTATTTTTAGTAAAGACAGGGCTTCACTATATTGGCCAGGCTGATCTCGAACTCCTGACCTTGTGATCTGCCTGCCTCGGCCTCCCAAAGTGCTGGGATTACAGGCATGAGCCACCGCACCTGGCCTGTGTTAGGAGTTATCACTGAAGCACATGCCCAGTGCTGTGGGGCCATGGTGCAGCGGAAGTGGTTAATTCTGCTTCCGGCACTTGAAGAAGGGAACTTTGGACATGAGTCTTGAAGCAAAAAGTAGGCTTTTTTTCCTTAGATGAGAGCTCAGTGTCTTCCCTGGTTAAACTTTTCATGTGAATATTAGTGCCCCTGTTTGAAGGAACCACTCTGGGAAATAGAGAACTGCATGAGAAATGTGGTTTACCACAAAGACTCCCATCTGGCACCAGAGCTATGCTGAGGTTTGCCATTCAGGCAGAATAGAGACTGGCCTTTAGCCCTGCCTTAGGCTCTGCCCCCTTGGGCCAGTCCCTTTACATGGGCACTCTTACCAGTGGCCATAGTCCAGATGCTGCCGGATGATGGTGTGGGGCTGCACCGTCCCGTAGGCATCCACCTCAGGCATGTTCATGTCATCAATGAAATAGATGAGCTTCTTGTTGCCTGGAGGGCCGTAGTTTCTACCAGCCTTCTTTTCCAGAGGCTTCTCCAGGACAGCTGGGGAGACAGCGAGTCAGTGAGGGAAGGTGGCTCAAATCTCAGATGCCAGTAATGAGACAGCAAAGATGTCAAGGACAAGCAATTGTGCTGCCTGCATGTGTGCAAAAAACAGCAACGCAAAAGACAACAATAATAACAACCACTGCTGCTCCCAACGGGCATTCTACAGGACCGGAAAGTGAAAACTGAAATTACTAGGCAGTAATGGGGACTGAATACCTCACCACGTGGGCTGTGCTAAGTTTTTACCCATCTTAATTATCTCATTTAATCCTTATAACATAACTGTGAGATTAGTATTATCCCGTTTTACAGATGAGGAAACTGAGGCGCAAAAGAACTCAGCGACTTTACTAAGGCTGGATACAAATCACAGTGGTTAAACCTCAAAGACTATGCTTCTTCTGTCATACTTGTGGTCCCCAGTTTTCTTGGTTTATATACTAAAAATGGAAAATATCTTTACAGTCCCAAGGCCAGGTACTCTACTCCAAAGAAGCTTACGAATAGTTGAATTCCTAGGTACAGTTGCCCTCTCTACTGAAGGCAGCAAAAATGCATAAAGGCTGCAGTTCCCCTTTCAGGGCTGGGTAGATACCCTTTCCTCTCCGAGGCTGTAAGAAAGGCGTCAATGTATGTTTTGCCAACTGTGTTCCCAGAGAGTTCATCTCATGGGATTTTCCTTGGCAGGATGTAGTAAAAACAGCCTCAGAGAATTTTCCAGATGCTTCCAGTGTCAACGGTGCCCTCCCCTGCTCTCAGGTTTCCTGGCTCTCTGTCTGAGCACCTTGGTGCCTTGACTCTCTTCTGGAGTGGTTTCTTCAATTATCAAGCCAAAGAAAGGAATCTAACAGCAGTTTTCCAGCATGACAGGACTTGCTTAGAACAAACTTAAGTAATAGGGTGGAGATATATGTACTTTTTCCAGTAAAGCAATGAAATATTTATGAATTGCAAGAACCAACACTTCCTGTTACAGCTGGAAGCGTTAAGAATCATCTGATTTCTTCTCTTGAAAAACAAGTTTGTAAACAAGGAGAAAGTGTCAATAGACATATGAAGGTGACAGAGAGAAAGACAAGTTCCTTCAAGAAGCTCGAATATTCTAATTTTCTGGTCCTGAGTTAAATTAAATGTTTCAAATATGAATTAAATTTAAATTTAATTAGCATCCAATTAACATACACTATCAACCAATTAATCACACAACACCTTCTTCCCCCCTAAAGACATAACAACTATATGTGAGATCTGTCAACATGAAATATAATTAATGGGTTGACAAGGACATGCTTTTGAGAACGGTTCTTCTAATAGGAAATTCTCTCCTTAGAAAGAAAGACTTATTTCTCCTCCTCCCAAGGCAATGATATTCAAATCAACCCCTGGAATTAAGCAGACCCTGTAATTTGGGTTGATTAAGCTCTTTATGCTTTTAAAGGATCGTTGAGGGGAAAACCATGTCAGTTAGCAAGAACCATGTCAGTTAGCAAGAACCATGTCAGTTAGCAAGAAGTGGCCATGGAGCGCACGGGATTATCTCGTGGCAGATGATACTAAGTTCTCCAGAGAAAGAAAGGGTCCTCCAGGAAAGACAGGCACATTGCTGACCCCTTCTTGGCCATGCTCTGCTCCATGTCACACCTAGGATGGAATTATAGTGATCTACTCTGTTTCCAGGCAGAACTGGAGGAGCAGAAGGGGGTCTGAGTTTCAGGAAAAGTGTTGATGTTGAAGGAGCTGAATGAACAAGACATGTAAAGAAATGTGACCCTCTTGCCACACTTCTGGGTTCTGACTGTTCTTAACAAGCCTGGAAACTCAAGCCCACACCTGGAGCCCGGGTCCAGGGTCATTTGTGCATTCTGACTGATTTCTCCTCGACACCCACATGGAACAGCTTGGGGTTCAGTCTTTGGCCACACAGACCCGTATCAGCTGCTGCACCAGGGTGAATGGTTTTATTCGTGCTGTTCTCTGGATACTATTGCACTGCCATCTTATACTTGAAGGGCGATTTAATTTTCTTCTTCTTCTTCTTTTTTTTTGAGCTGGAGTTTCGCTTTTGTTGCCCAGGCTGGAGTGCAGTGGCGTGACCTTGGCTTACTGCAATCTCTGCCTCCCGGGTTCAAGCGATTCTCCTGCCTCAGCCTCCTGAGTAGCTGGGATTACAGGCATGGAACACCACCTGGCTAATTTTGTGTTTTTAGTAGACGGGGTTTCTCCATGTTAGTCAGGCTGGTCTCGAACTCCTGACCTCAGGTGATCCACCCACCTCAGCCTCCCAAAGTGCTGGGATTACAGGCGTGAGTCACTGTGCCCGACCTGTAATTTAATTTTCAAAGGGGCTTCCCATTTGTTATCTCTTTTCGCCATCTCCACTGCTGCCCTCCTTGTCCATCTGCTCTCACCTGGTAACTACGAATCTTCCCAAATGGTCTCCTAGCTTTTGCCCTAGACTCCCTACACTATATTCTCAAAACAGCAGACAAGAATACCCTTGTAAAATGCAAATTGGATCGTGCCCATCCCCTGTTTTATGCCCTCCAGTGGCATCCTGACATCTCACTTGCAGCAACAAGCGCCATTTGTTGACGCTTTCACAAACTTGTATCCTGTTGTTTTTCTGCACTCCTGTTCTCCTCGCTCACACCTCTGCCAGCAGGGCGCTGACGCCAGCCGCCCTGGTTGTCTTTCCTTCCTTCGTTCCTGTCCTTCTTCCTTCCTTCCTTCCGTCCTCTCCTTCCTTCCTTCCTTCCTTCCTTCTCCGTCTCTCTCTTCTTTCTTTCTCTTTGCCTTCGCCTTTCTTTCTCTGTCTCTCTCTTCGTTGTCTTTCTCCTTTTTGACGTGTTCCACTCTGTCCCGCCGCTGGAGTGCACGTTTTGCGCTCACGCAACTTCCGTCCCGGTTCAAGTAAGTCTCTGCCTCAGCCTCCCGAGTAGTTGTTTCTGATCTCACGGAGCACTCACTGCCCAAGCTTTGCTCTTGGGATTTACCCTTGCCGGTCGAATCTCTTCTTCCACATCGCCAGCACAGTTTCTCCCACACCCATCAGATTATCTACCCCAGGTGCTATTTTTCCAGTAAGCTTCCCTGGTATCGCACCTAAAAATTCAAAGCCCCACCTTTATTCTCACTGCCCAGCTTCATGTCTCGTATTCCATCACTTGTTTACACTCTACATATCCTATACTTTACTTATTACTGTGTGTATGCCCCCATCCATCCCTTGGAACACTAGAATCAAACCCATGAGACAGGGATTTTACTCGTGCTTGTTCACTGTCATAACCTCTGGACCCTAGGTATTATCTAACACAGAGTATAAGTGCTCGAAATCACTATTAAATAAATGAATCGAATCGAATGTACTTCCTTACATACTTATACAAATGGATAAGAAAGAAACGTCTACATTCCCATTTGTGAAATTAAGGACAAAGAGGTAAGGCACGATTAAATGCTGGAATGAAGAATCCAGTTTTAGAATAGCTCACCTTCCAAAGCTCTCCACTTACCAGCAGAGCTTGAACCTCCGTCACCTAACACTGGACCAATCTACGTCCCAGTTGATTCCTCTTCTAATTTGTGCTCTTTCTTAACTTTAGATGCAGCTTTCTTTTTTCATTTTCTATTATCTTCAGCGAACATCTACCAGTGAGGGACGCGCTTGACATGCGAATTATAGCCACTCATCCTTCACAGACCCTATCATGGCGTATGTATCATTAGCCTCTTAAAAGTCTTTGAGATACATGGTAAGACTGAGCTTAGAGAAATTTAGTATTCTATCCAAATCAAACAGCTACTAAGTGTCAAAGCCAGGATTTTAACCCAGGTCCACCTGGCAATGAAACCTCACATAACCACTACTACAATATTTACTTCTTTTTTTTTTTTTTTTTTTTTTTTTTTTTTTTTGAGATGGAGTTTCACTCTTGTTGCCTAGTTGGAATGCAATAGCGCGATCTTGGCTCAGTGCAACCTCTGCCTCCCAGGTTCAAGCAATTCTCCTGCCTCAGCCCTCCTGAGTAGCTGGGATTACAGGCATGCGCCACCACGCCTGGCTAATTTTGTATTTTTAATAGAGACAGGATTTCTCCATATTGGTTAGGCTGGTCTCGAACTCCCAACCTCAGGTGATCTGCCTGCCTCGGCCTCCCAAAGTGTTGGGATTACAGGAATGAGCCACTGCACCTGGCCTTCCTTACTTCTTAAACATTATAAAGACATGGCTTCTGCCCTTGAAAATTATCGGTTTAGTCAACTCATTGCCCGCACCATATTTTTGACAGAGATCATTAGTAATTAATCATGTCTTATTTTGCATGGATATGATTTGCATACCTGTTTGAACCCTTTTCCTTTCATATTATTTAATTTTTCATGTATTAAGACTTTTCAGTTATCTTGTAAGGGCTTTGCATTTATTCTTTCAAAAAATAACATACTTTGCATGATTATAAACATAATACATATTCATTTTAGAAAGACTAAAAAGCATAGAAAATTATAATAATGGAAGTGAAAGTCACCCATAGTTCTATCAACTAGCTGTAAGTACTCTCTTTCAATATTTTGGTGTATTTTACTCTAGTCTGGTTTTTTTTTTTTTTTTTGCTTAGATTTTTTTCTACACAATCAAAATTATACTGCCTGTATTTTTTAATTTAATGTATTGTAAACCTCTTTATATGGTAATAAACATACTCCTAAAACATGATTTTAATTGCTGCGTTGTGTTCCATAATTTGGATGTACCAAAATTTATGGAATTATTTTTCTATTGCCTAAAATATGTGTTGCTTTCAATTTCATTATACTATATTTGAACTTTCCATGATTCCAAGTAGAATGTCTTGCTCACTAGATGACACATCTTTGATAATTTCACTTTGATTTCTGTCATGAAGTAAAACGTATTAGGTGGAAGAGAGCTGTCTGTTTGTAATAATTGTAAGCACAATGCTCCTTTGAGATTGGACATTTGATTAGAT